CATGCTGCATACACAGCACAACAATAAATAACTACACCATTGGTTTATGTATTTGTAATGCTAGACTTTTTGCCATTATTTCAGATTGGACTGCTGCTTATATTTGTTAACTGTGTACTGCAAAACAGTACATTGTGTTGTACCAACAGCAGCTTCATACATCTCCTGTTTACTTTTCTCGATGGCTTCGGGAGACCACTTCAAGTTGTTGGCTCACACCCTGCAGTCTGTGGAAGTATCTGCCATGGCATACACACAAGGACAGAATTGCTTAGCAAGGCATCTCTCAGAATACATTCCTATTGTTACGTGATATATAACTGTCTTTGAAGACAATAACTGAAAAAATTCCCTAGTTAGCTAAATAAAATATAAATCTTCAGGAAAAAAAAATAAACCATTTCAAATGAAATAAACACAAAGAAATGCATGCTCTGCTGTGTCATAACCAAAAATCTGAAGATGGAAAATTTAGAAAACAGTCTTCAAAACAGAACAGAAGCAGCATGTCATTGACAAGCCGTAACAATTCAGATTCCGAAGGCTTTCTCACTCAAAATGATGTTTCACAAAAAGAAATGAAGTGATCCTGTACTTGACTTCACTTGGTACCTTACCATCGGGCTGCAGGCACAGTGAACAGCATCGGTCTTGGGGCTGCTCTACTTTGACAGGTGTTATCTCTTGCTTCTTTTTCTATTATTTCTAACATTTTCTGTGTTTATCTGGATGTTACAAACATTTGTAACCCATTTACAAACATATGACATCCAGACTGACTATATTCTAAAATTTCCCACACACCTGAAATGCAATAACAGAGTCATAGGTCCCCAAAAGTACCCCCTGCGAACACCCTTGCAATTAATGTTAAACTTACATAAACTCCTACATTCCAGGTCTATGGCTCATTTAATAGACACCTGTTTAGAGACCAGAATATAATTCAAATCCTGTTCACATCAGAGTGATTGGCAAGCCATGCTTCCTTGTGTTGACTTTCATTAGAAATGTCTCGGGTTTTCATACGTATTTGCTGTATTACTTAGGAGTATTAGATCATTCTCTGGATAAGAAGAGCAAGTACGGCAGCAGGAACATAGACATATGCTGTGAAATATTTTGCATGGAGATAAAACAGGAAGGTTCTATATATAAAAGAGAAGAAAGACCACACAACCATCAAAGATTCACAAAGCACCCAAGAGTTTCTGTTTCCTGATCTGAAGGAGCTCAGCTCTTCCCATTTTGTGGCACCCACCCCTTTCCTACTGTAACAACTGCCCCTGCTCACTCGTGTATCTGAATTAGAGCATAAACTGGAAGACACACGTCTACATCAGGTTACGTTTTGTCCATGATTGAAGTGACGAGTATGAGAAAGTTGTATTGTGAGTAGAGTAATGATTTCCAGAGTTCGGGTATGGCACAGTTGCCTTGGAAAAGGCCGGCATCTGGAACTGCCCCACCACCAAGAAACTGACTCAGTAGTTCAGAGATGTATTTTAAAATGTGCATCTTTATGGTTAGTAGGCTCCTGGCCACACATTGGTCCTCATTCCAACAGCATTTTCAGTAGACAGTGATTGTGTATATCCAAGGGCATAAAGGGCATATCCCTCTGTACTGACTTGCATAATTGTTTGAGATTTGTTTTGTCTTAATCACTCATATGTCTACTTTTATTAAATAGTTCTTTATTCCTTTCCTCATTTTTCCTATTGGATTATTTTCTCTTAGGAATTAGTAACTTTTTTATTATTATACTTAGGAAAATACCTTCTCTGGCTTGTTGCTTACCTTTGTACTTTTTATTTTATGATGCAATGAGGTCTGGGGGGATTTTTTGCCTTAAATGTGTTGTTCTTTTATTTTACAGTTTACAACTTATATAGTATGAATTTCTTTATAGAGATGTCATAAATCTAAAATGAATAAATAAATAAAATGTACATTTTTACAAAAGTCTTTGCTACTCTGACATAAGTTCTCCACCAATAGTACACTGAAAATTATTAAGCTGGGGAACATAGACAGTCTATCATTGTGAAATAAATTAAAATGGACTTCCCAGGAGCCTGAAAGGCCCAGAGACATGCAGATACAGTTCTTTGATAGTGCGTGGTATGATGGCAGTGGGTTGTGGTGAAGAATTTATTGCTATATGTATGAGAAAGACATGGGACGAAGACAGGAAGAGAGACGTCTCTGCAGAGTTGGAACGTATCTTTTTCAGTCCTGGGTGTCATTACTGCATGTGCGCCAGAGACAAGGAGGAGGAAGTCAGAGCTGTCACTTAGTTCCTGAAGCAAGTGTCACAATTTGTCACCCCAGGCATTCAGCACTATGCTTCTTGTCTGACTTATTTCATGATAATTTGTTCTTTCAATGAGCATTTATTACATTCCTATTGTTGAGTTTAACTGAACTGAAAATTTAAATTAATACTCAATTTGTTTTAAATTAAGTATTACTTTTATACAATTTTATGTTATTGAAAAGGCTTCAAATCATTAGGGATTTTTAAGTTGAAGGCTTAGAAAAAAAAAGCAAAAGGCACATTTAAATTGAACAATTGCTTTCTGAGTAAACTCATCGTAACTGACATGAGCAGGTTACTTAATCTTTTCTTCTTGGGTTTAACTTTAAAACTGAAAATTTTGTGCAGTGCTCTCCAGTGCTGCTACTACTATATAATACTAGACTTCAGTCTACTGACGTCAACTAAAAGTCCCTGAAGAAGTCACACCTGTGACTGCAGACTTACTAACTAGAACCTGGTGAATATGAGGAGCCACAGATGAAGAGCCAAAATTACCTTGGGCTGTCTTTGCTCTCCTTAACAGTCATTTAACACTGGCCTCTGTGGCTAACACCGTGATTATCAAGTAAATCCTTTGGAGTATGTGAATTTAGCAGACCGCTAAGTTCTACCCACCCCCCAATAACTAAGGATGATTAAGCCAGCATCAGTAGTCTAGGACATGCTTCCTAGCTTTGCTATAATCCGCCTACCTGATGCCCCCAACTTTGTATTTAATAATGCATTGGGTTTTCCTGTTGTGTTTTATGAGAATTTTTGTGGGTTTTTCTTTTTTTAACTTGCTTTTGTTCTGTGACTAATAAATATCTTATTCCCTTTGGAACAGGAACTCTGTTTCATATTGATACTTAATTTATATGCATTAGCCCCAGCCTCAACATAAAGTCATCAGTTTAAATACTCAGGGTTTAATTTCTGGAACACATACTCAACAGGTTGGAATTTGTAATATTATCTTCAATAAAAATGCATCAATTAATTAGAATTCTTTTATCAACCTTTAAATTATGTTTGCTATGCCATTAAATCTATGAGCAATTTGGATTCAAATCCAAGTTTTCTCAGGTCATTGCCATTCAAAGAATTCCTCAGCTAATCCAAAGTACTATAATCATTTATATGCTAAATAAAGGCAATTGTCTTCTTGCATGGGCCTTATTTTCCCAAATTTTGAACAGTAGCTTACAAAGAATAGCTAACTTAATGATGAAACTGTATTCCTGACCTTACACATTACCTCAAAGAAACAATAGCTGAGTCCAGTACTAAAAGGATATTAAAATATAATAAAAATATCAAGAAAGGTATGTGTGTGCTGATCCAGGCTTGACTTATGTAGATTATATAAGATAGAGGACTTTGATTTTCCATCCAATAGACTATACAAGAATCAGGAGGGGTAAAATGTGTACCTATAACTAACACTGTACTGAGCCCGATACAAGCAGTTATTTTAAAACTCGCAATCTCATCTAGTCTACTATACTTTGTCAGTGTGGGTTCTTGCTGACTAAGACAAAGGAACAAATCGCCACCAGGAAATAGTAACATCTTACAGAACCATTCAAAGACAATTACATGTAGACTAAAAGAATCGCCTGTCAAGTTTGGTCTGCACTTTTTTCTGAGTTTTCTGCTCTTTACCTTCTCATAAAAACTACAAAAATATCAAAATCCTTTCAAGTTCTTTACTACATGAGTGCAAATCATGTTGCTAACCTCACCATTGCCTGTGAGATGATCTCATTTCCCTCAGTGTCAGAACTAGACCCTATCAGAGAGAGTGTTTGTCTTTATAAATCTCCGAAAGCCTTAATTCAGAACCTTTACTAAAGGATTTTTAGTAATGTGTGTGTAAAAAAACTTCATGTTTTAAAAATAAGTTCAGGCACTTAGGTTTTCAACTACGTAAAAATCTGTAAACCTAGACCCAAATCCTAGGACACTCTTTTAAAAATTATATTCCACAGGAAACAGTAAAGGTGTTTACAAGAAAAAGCATAAGAATGATATATGACAGGCTTACCTCTTACAAAAATTTCATTTAAAGGGGTCATTTCCCACAGTTCCCCAACAGGTGCAACATTTGATCATTTTATCAAATATTTCAAAACACAAAACCAGGCTAATGAAAAAATGAAGTCATTATTAATTCCAAGATAAACATGACTTTAAATAATAAAATGAAATTATTCATCGGTATTTTGCATCCTGTGCTGGCTAATTTTATGTCAACTTGACACAAGCTAGAATTGTCTAAAAGGAGGGAACCTCAATTGAGAAAACGCCTCCATAAGACCTGGCTCTAAGGTATTTTTCTTAATTAATGATTGATGGAAGAGAGCCCACCCCATTGTGGGTGGTGCCATCCTTGGTGCTCCTGGGTTCTGTAAGAAAGCAGATGAGCAAGCCATGATGAGCAAGCCAGTAAGCGAAGCAGCAGTCTTCCATGGCTTCTGCATCAGCTCCTGTCTCCAGGTTCCTGCCTTGTTTGAGTTCCTGCCCTCACTGCTTTTGATGAAGAACTGTTACATGTGCGTGAAATAACCACTTTTCTCCCCAAGTTGGTTTTGGTCATGATGTTTCATCAAAGCAATCGTAACCCTAACTAAGAAAAATAGTGTTAAAAATAATTATTATTGGAGAAACTGAAATGTAGGTGACAGTTCTGAGACATCACCACCAAGCTAGGCACCAGGGAGATGACAGAGATGGACCCCAAAGCCATACAGGATATCACCTTGGTGGTGGAGACGCTCTTGCGGCAGAGGCAAGACAAGTTTCAGATCATGTTGGACCAGATCATTGGAAGGATCAATGACATGAGCAGTCGCATTGACCATCTGGAGAAAAATATTGCTGACCTCATGACGCAGGCTGGAGTGGAAGACCTGGAAGGTGAAAAAGATTCCAACTGCACATAGGAGTTGAAAGCTGCTGTTATTCGCACTGAATCCATAATGTTGCTTTCCTAAGCCAAGAGAAAACCAAGCGGCTTTCTGCAACTAACTGCTATGTGTTGACAGGCTTATAAAGCATGCACTCTTACCACAGCCTGCATACTCTACACAGGGTACCCCATGTAGTACCCCCATTTCTCAAATTGCTATCTCCACATCTTGGTCAGTTATCTTAATTATTAAACATGAAAATGGCGGTTTCTGCATGCAATTGTCAATCTTTTTAGTGACTTTCTGAAGTCTTTTCCCCACTGTCCCTTTTGTGGTCATTGCTATTTGAAGAGGCAGAGTGTACTTTCCAATCAGGTGACTAACAGCTCCTCCCCTTGGCGGAAGCCGTGATGTGTACCTTAGGGTTCCTTCATTTTCAGCACAAAAGTGACAGTTGGGTAGACAGTAAAGTGTCAGAAATACTTTTCCAAATGGCTGAGAACATTTAGCAACAGTTGGTGCCGGATAGACTGTCAGAGTTCTGCGTGAGATTCCAGTAGCATTGGTAGATCCTACAGTGCTCAGCCACCGCGGGATGTCAGAACCCAGCGACCCTGTCCTCCCTTCGAGCTACTAACAGAAAGGGAAAAGACCAGAAGAGTGAGTCCACTGCTGGTCACGTGGCTGAGAAATGCCCAGTGACTGGTGGGAGGCTCTGGTTTTAAGAAATACTACGTTTCTTGAAGTATTTCTTGCCTAAAGTCTTACGCAGTGGATTCTACTATTCATTTAAGACGACAGATAATAAACTCTTTACCTTCGGAATTCCAGTGTCTGGAGGCTTAGCCTCGAGTCCCCTTTCGACAACCTGGAAGGTAATCTATGTCACTGTCCCCACAAAGTGATTTCATACAATAATAAAAAATGTGAATAATTAGAAAAGTTAAAAAATATTATTATTAAGAATCTAGATTTTTTTAAACTTTTGTTTTGGGTGGTGGGGCAGGAAGCCTGCATGCCGAGGCTCTCATGTAGAGGTCAGAAGGCAACATTCCTGAGTCCATTTTCTCCTCTATCACATGGGCTCCAGGAACTGGACGCCGGTCATCAGGCTTGGTGGCAAGCATCTTTACCATCTCACAAGCCCCCGTTTTTTTAAATCATACACAATTGTAATGTATGGACGAGTGAGGAGAAAATGAAGCGGAAGTCATCAGCTACCGTAGAATAAAGTCGGCTGAAAATGAATCAAGCATTATATGCTTATCTGTTTTAGAAACGTGGAGGCAAAGTCAGAAAGTTGTAAAAGAGTTTTAATTTTTCTATTATGAAGAGGGGAAAGAGGGCAGGAGAAATACAGGGAAACTGGGGATATAAAAAAAAAAGACAAAATATTCTTGGTTCTGTGGTGAAGCTTTGGGCGCTATTAGGTTTTTACAAAAACAGCTCGCATATAACCTTTGGCCTGGTTATTTCTGTGAGCACAGAAAGAAAAAAAAAACAAGCAAACAAACTAGACCACTCCATAGCTTTAATTAATTAATTAATTAATTAATTAATTAACAAATAAACAGTTTATAGGGGAACAATTTGCAGGGCTGTCTCATAAGAATAAAGGGTAGCCGCTCAGGGGGGAGCAAGTGGATTTTTTTTTGAGGGGGGGGGTTCAAGACAGGGTTTCTCTGTGTAGCTTTGCGCCTTTCCTGGAACTCACTTCGTAGACCAGGCTGGCCTCGAACTCACAGAGATCCTCCTGCCTCTGCCTCCCGAGTGCTGAGATTAAAGGCGTGCATATGATAGTCAGCATGGTGGGCTCTCTGAGCCGACGCAAACTGTTCTGGAGAATCGAGAACTGAACGCATTTGCCTGTGGTCGTCAAGCATCAAGGGTGGAGAAGAGACGTAGTGGATTTCCTGACAAACAGAAACCCGCACTGGAAGGTTTCCGAGGAATGCTGAGTTTAGGTTTCTGTTTACCTGGTCAGAATCCCACTCTGGTCGCCATCTTTGGGCCCTGTCAGGAGCACTGCCATTTGGGAGCACGCTTGATATAGGAATTTTAAAATTCCTAGCAATTAAAAAAAAAAAAAAAAACAGTTTACTACAGCTTTTTTTCTGGAGGGATGGGAATGGGGGAAGAATAGAGGAGAGTGGGAAAGCGGGGGAGGGGCAGGAAAACCTTCGTTCGACACATTGTAATTAGCACCACTTCTTGATAAACTCGTATTTTCAATCTTAGTATTTTGGGTCAATGCATGTCATTACAATTTGCAGACCAAAACCCCAGCCCATGGAATTATGTTACTGTCTTCGTTACTGTTCTATTACTGGGGGGAGGGGGGGAACACCATGACCAAGGCAGCCCTCATAAAAGAAAGCATTGAACTGGGGCCTTGCTTACAGTTTCAGAGGTGCTAGAGGAGAAGCTGAGTGTTCTATATGCGGATCTGAAGACAGCAGGAAGAGAGAGCGCCACTGGGCCAGGCTTGGGCCCTTGAAACCTCAAAGCCCACCCCCAGTGGCACACCTCCTCCACTGAGGCCACACCTCCTAATCCCTCTCAAGCAGCACCACAGTTACCCACACATATAATGTAAACCTTCTGGAAGTTCCCTCACAGATATCACTCAAAGTGTGTCTCCTAGGTGATTCTAAGTTCTCTTAGGTGGATAATAAAGTCATTGCATCACTAGATATTATAATCAAAACAGCATGGTCCTGGCTTTAAAAATAGTTACATAAACCCACAAAATAGCACAGAATTGAGCCCAATTGTTTGCTGTCAATAGAGTTTCAACAAAGGTTCCAAGAATATACAGTAGGAGAATGCACAATCTCACCAATAAATCAGGTTGCAAAAATTTGAATCCCCCTACAGAAGAAGGAAACTGTGTCTTTGTTTCACATCGTGTTGACAAAAAGACAGCTCACAATGAATAGAAAATGTAAACTTAGAACCTGAAGCTATGATGTCACTAGAAGAAAGGAGTGAAAAATGCTTACAGCATGGGCCTGGACAATAGCTTCTTGGCTAGGACTCCCAAAGAACAGGCAACTAACCCAAAAGTAGATAAGTAGGATTGTGTCAAACTAAAAAGTTGTACAGAGGAGGGAGCAGAGTATAGACAACCCCACACACTGAGAGGTAAGGTGTCAAATATCCAAAACATGTAAGAAACTCAACTCCAGGGCAAGAAAATCACCCAATTTAAAAAGAAGACAATGATCTGATTTCTGATCATTATGGAAATGCAAATTAAAACTATAATAAACCAGCACCCCCACATCTGTTACAATGGCTGTTACCAAGGATTGTTTAAATTCTTGATTGAGAAATAAGACAAGTTTACAAAGGATTGTTTCTATTGTTAACAAGGGACATGAAACAACAAATGAGAAATCTGAATAAATCCTATTGCTTAAAAGAATTTCACCAAGGCTAATCTTCTAGTCCTGGCTGTACTGGGATTCTACCTGATTCTAACATTGAGCTCAGTAATGTGAGGCCTTGATCATCCTTACGAAGTCGGTAAATCTAAAAGCTCTTTTAGAACAAAGAAGTTATTTTAAAAACTTCCTAAAAGCAAACACATATTTTCCTGTCGTAAGCACTTGGTTTGAAAACAACGTCTAAGAGGCCAAAAGGAAACAAGGTGCTGACATAGATAAATCTCCCCAGCTGAGAAATGTATGGAAATCAGATCCACCATTGACACAAGACTAATTGTTATAACAGGTGCTTCTAGAAAGATTAATACGGAGTGTCCCCCACTAGATCTGTCATTTTTAAATGCCATCAAATCCTGAATGCTCCTGGGAATAGCCAGGAGAAAGGACACCTGAGATGACTTCTCAGCTCAGTAGCCATGTGAGTTTTCACCCCAAATACAGAGACCGCATTGAGAAATCTTAATGGCCTCTTCCTCCCCCCAAAATTATCCAGGTACTTTTTAGTGATTTCTAATAATCTATTTACTAAAGTGAACTCAGACATGCCAGTTCAAATAAGCTTGAAAAGGAAAAAAATCATTTCTGTGAGTGGAAAAGGGCAGAAGCAATGAGGCCTCCGTTGAGGATTAGAATCACAGACCAGGCATGGCATCACAGCCTGGCTCCCCTCCAGCTCCCAGCTTTTCCTCTACGGAGTTGCCTTCTGCTGCTGACTTCATATCATGGCCTTTGGCAGCTCGAGGACCATAATCTCCAGAGATTCTCCCTGCCTAGATGGGCTAGCTTGGCTGCAACATAGAACCCTGATCGATCGTGATTGCCATGAAGACAGACCACTCTGAAGAGAGTAGAATTCCGTGGGCCTGTGGCACATGCTGGCCCTCTCTTGAAATGAGACCTGTGCCTCTACTACAAAATTTGTTATTTTCAGCCAAGCGCATTTCCGCTAATAGAGATTTTTACACAAGACAACAAGACTCTATAGAAAACAAAGATAAAGGGTGGAGGAAAGAGCTGTGTTATTTTCTTTACCATAAATAGCACTCAGAGCCAATTGAAGGACTCGAACTTTGGCCTCTTTTGTGTTGTAAAACCAGTTTTCCTACCAAAGCTATATAGGTCAGGAGCTTGGTAAGAAAAATGTTTAGTTGAAGCCATGAATGAAATACTGTATATAAAAAGGCAAATGGCAGAGTATGTCCCACTGAGAGCATAAGGGCAAAGAAAACCAGCTTCTGTAATCCAAAATTATGAAATTATGTATGCTAAACTCTTAACTATTTACCTTAGCAAGTTTTGATACTAACACTGGATGGGGAGGTGGGTGACTTATAAGGATGTACTGAGATATAAGATAAATACAGAATCAGACAACTCCCATAATAAACATTTGCTGTCCTAAAAGGAATTCAATGCTGTTTGCTATTGCTTGGGATCTCCTCCAGGAACTGACCAAATATAAAGAGAAGCCATTAAACTAAGATTCTAGGAAAAAGAAACTTGTTGCCAAGGAAACCAAAGTTCCAAACTCAAAGGTCATGGCCACAATAAAATATCTCCTGGCACCGTTACTATGTATGTAATGTAAATTACAAATACATGTCTCCTAAAATTAGAAGGACATCACAAATTAAAGAAACCCCAAGCACATCCCTGAAGAGCTCTGACTTAGTCTTTA